GCAATAAGCCTCGGAAAATACACTTTCCTCAACACCGCTTTATATCGATACACTAGAGGTACCCTAGAACCTCAACTATACCCCACTTTATATATACCGTTTGAAAGGTCTTGAGGTGGGCTATCCAAAACCGTTTGGATCCCACTGGATTTCTCCCCTAGATTCCTCACAATTGGGCTAGGCAGAAATTTCAAGTCACTTTTTAGTAGTATAAAAAAGGGCATTCAAAAACGCGAAAAAACGCGAAAAAACGCGAAAAAACGCGAAAACGCTAATTACCTCGCGTTTTTCGCGTTTTATTATTCCAACAATAGTAACAGCATGCACGCAGCATGCATGCTGTGTAATAAAAGAAGACGAAGACAAAAGGGAAGGTCAAGCAAAGAGGAAAAAGAAAGAGACCTGAAAATAAGAAACAAAGAAGAAAGCGAAGAAGATAAAGAGAACCTAAAAACAAAAAGAGACCTGAAAATAAGAAATTTGAAATGAAAGACTTTTTTTTTATTTTATTGTTTTCTGTTTTTATTTATTTGAATGAATTGAATTAAAGACATGAATCGTTCAGTTGTTTTTACATAATTCAGTTAAACTTAATTCTTAATTTGTTCAAATTCTATGAAATAATAATTGCTCGCGTTGTTTTGAATCTGCGACGGCATGTTGGACAGGCTTTTTTGCCTCTTTTCTCTTTTTCGAAGTCGATTCATTTATGCGTCTACTTCATGGTGAAATACGCGAAAAACGCGAAAAACGTGAAAAACGCGAAAAACGCGGAAAAAAACGCGAATAACGCGAGAAACGCAACGCGAAAACGCGAGAAACGTGGAAAACGCGAAAAATAGCTCGAATTGTTTTCGTGTTTTTCAATGCTCTCAATGTTAGGTATATGCAAAGACGCGCAGCATGAGTGCTGTAAACAAAAAAAGAAAGAGAACACAAAGAAGATGAAAACAAAGAAGACAAAAGAATCCTGAAAATAAGAATTTTTAAATAAAAGACCCTTTTTTTTCATTTTATTGCTTCTTTTGTTTTTATTCATGCTTAAACGGTGAAGCTTGACTGCTTTGTTGATGTGTATAACAATACGGGTAAAACACCGGTGCTCCGAGGTTTTCATACAAACTTCCCATGTAGAATATCGGAAACAGGCAAAAATCGAAAAAAAAAGTTAAATTTTTTTTTTCGATTCTCATACAGTATTTCATGTGCCCAATCCAATGGTGTTATCGGCACATCGAAATTCGCGCTCCTTATCACTTAATTTTCACTCCGAAGCCAAATCACAACCAAAACAAACATTAAAATGAATCATCATTCCAATGGACTTGAAAGTGTATCGAACATTTTTGCTTCAATTAAAGTGAAACACGATTTCTATAGTCAAAGATGTTTTACGATTCACTTACAGCCGAACAGAATTTATGTTGCACTTTTAAAAATCAAGAATATTGTGTTACGGTTATCCATAAGTGGTTCAACTTTAGTCATTTTTATTCCCGACCACTAATATCTACAAATTATAAAATAATATTGTACAAAATCAAATTTAGCCAGTGATTGGCCAGTGTTAAATAAAATAAAATGAAAAAACTTCATGACCAAGTATGGACATGGTTTCAAATTTATCCCTAGGATAGCAAAATGTTGAACATTTTTGAGAAAAAATTGATTCGAAATATCCGTATTATTAAAATTTGTGATGAAAAACCAGGGAATATTGGCTTGAACTTCAATTTTGACTGTGTTTTGAGCAAAAATTGACAATTTATTTCTTGTTTCCTCTCCGGTATTCATCCTTGGTATAAAAAAATTTCAAATATTTTAATATGACTGGAAATTTTTCATATTTATGGCACCAATAAGAACAGAAATAAAGTTTAACATCAATTTAAATTGAGTAAGAATTTTGCTAGAAATTTTGGTATTTTGACCAAAAAAATTTATCCCTAGGATAAATTTATCACGAGGAACATAAATTGGGCAGTTTGGAGCGAAAATTTTAAGCAGAAAAGTTGCGCGGAAAATTTTCAAATGAAAAGAGATAGCTATATAGTTCACTATAGTTCACTATATAGCTATCCCTTTTCCGCTCATTCATCATCGACATTTTTCCACGCAACTTTTCTGTATTACATTTTCGCTCCAAACTGCTCAATTGACTGTTCATGAAATGCAATGAAAATCTGCAGAACGATTTCGTGCGTTTATATCACGAAATTTTTGCAAAATTTATCTCCTCCCAATGCGTCATACAATCTAAAGAACCTTCAATATAGAATACATAAAAATAAGACTGAACATATAGATATCCGAATGATTCTAAAAGAAGTCTGTTGCTATTTTGGAGATACAGACGGCTTCAAAATTAAAACCACGCGTAGAACTTCAAACAGACATAAATAATATGAATTTTTCTAAACATTTCATGGCTGTTTTATTTGTATCGTTATTTAAAAATCAACAATACGATTTTATACATAGTAGTTATCTAATGAATATCTTAACTACAGGGGGTTTGTAGATTGAAACACAAGCACACTAGCGCCGCAGTTTGCCCTACAATATCATATACGGCAAGCTGCAGAACTATTCATTCAGTATATATCATGCAGCTCAACTGTCAATCTGTAATCCCCCTGCTTAACTATGCGTATTTTAAGAATATGTGAACCTGAAGCAAAGAGAGTATTTATTACAATTAAATTTCTAAAGGAATAGAATAAATATTTGCGAACAGATTTAATTGAATGTTAGGAGGCAAAATGATATCAGAACATCGAAACATCGAAACAATATACTCCGATGCCATACCACAAGAAAATTATTCTTCCAAAAGTTCCAAGAATGCTTTTGGTACTAAGCCATTTATCTAAAAAATAAAGATTGAAATAAAAATCACGTAATTCAAATTTTATTTTTTTTTTTCATTTTCACTTACCAGGCCTTGTTTTCCATACATATAATCAGAATTGAGGGGATTTAATTCCGTCACAAATATGATCTGTTGTTAAAGATGTTTATGTCAGTTTAAAAAAAGAAAGTCTGATTTGAAACCGTCTCACCTCATTAGCGCTGAGATTAAGCTCAGTACTGTCCGTTGCGTCATATGAGCAAAGTACCCGAGCTCTTTGTTTCCAATCGTTTTGTATACCACAAATATTCTGACTGTTACATGAGTTTCCTGGCGCATTAGCGCTGTTCAGGTTCTTTGGTTTGTCGTTATGTAATACAACTGGAACGTATGGCTGGTGTCCTCCCAGACTATTCAAATACGAAGAAGAAGAAAAAGAAAAAATTGAAAATTTCCAAAATATTGCAAAAATATAAACGAATCTTAATTTATATTTTATATGCTGCCAATTAATTGAGCTCGCAAAAATTGACTTTAGTTTCCTGCGTGTCCACATCGGACCACCCGTTTGGCCGCCAGCCCGGAACAGACGGACAAAACTCCTACAATAATCGCTCATCTTTAATTGCTTTCACATATTTCTTTCTTTCATTATCAAATTCAAATGGCAACACCTGTCAAATTAGACGTCTACTTTTTTTTTCTCTCTCCGTCTATTTTCAACAAATTTGTTTGTTTTTAAATTGTTTTTCGTCTTAATTGTACGATATTTTACATCAAATTGAAAGTTTAAGTCCTGTTTTACCTCAGCAACATAAAGTTTTCGTTCGAAATTTATTTTTGTGTACAGTTTCAGTGTATAATTTCTTCAAGTTTTTCTTCGTTCTGTTTACTTGTTATTGTTGTTGCCTACTGACTGACTGTAAACATGTGTACATCGAGCTGTGAGGTTAAAAGCCAAATCGCTGAGCTGTTGACAATGCTGGAGCCAATATGGAACAAATTAAACCAGCTCAAACATCTTTATTCTGACGAAATTAGCTCCGTGAGATCGGACAAAGCCGATAAATCGGCAAACTCACGTACTGAGCCAATGGATGAAACTCCGGCACCAACCCAAATTCAGCAGCAAATATCGGACAACGTGTCAAACTCGGGTTTACCGCTTGTAGACTTGCAAAATGTAAACATTTCACGGCGGAATAAAAGCAAGCGGCCCAGACTTGACTCGGAAGAACTGAACTCTTCAGATGAAGAGCAAAGTGACACTTCACCGCTGTGCAAATTGGTTTTTAGTCGTGATGCCAGTGGGAACAGTGGACAAAACGGTGCAAATTCAAAGCCCGTTGATACTATATTGATGCGCTCGGTTTATTTAACCGAATTTCTACCGACAACCGAGCCTGCCGACATTATTAATCACTTGAATAGCATTGAAACTGTCCGACCTTTGACAAATGATTTCAAAATTACCAAGCTCGTGAAGAAAGACAACAAAATGGAGTTGTCATTCGTGTCATTCAAACTCGATGTTCCTCGCCAACACTTTGACAAGGTAATAGCGGCAGGTATTTGGCCCAAGAAAATCAAAGCCACCGAATTTCAGGTCAAGTCTGTGAAGTCATCTGCACCGGCAAATCTTCCCAAAACTCATGACAACCATCAAATTCGGTTGCAACTACAAAATTTATCAGCAAAGGCCGCTCAAACTAAGTCAAAAAACTCCAGTGGCACAGTGAGAAACCAACGGTTGGAACCGGCAATGAATGCATCGAACCAGAATTGCAACAAACAACCACTACAGCGCCCACGGAGGGGTCGGCGCCAACGCAATCAGCAAAATTTGTGCCAAAAGAGCTGTTGTCTCCAACGTCAGCCTCAACCCGTTGTGAAGAGACAGCACAACGGCTGCACAGGTTACTACGAAGGAAATCGTCACGATTTTCATCGCCGATGTTGCAACTAAAGTCATGCACATCGGATGATCACTGCGTTTTGTGTACAATCTATTACCAAAACTGTCGTAGCATATGCAACAAACACAAACGCTTCTTTTGTACCGCCGCTTCCTGCGATCACGATATGATAATATTAACTGAAACGTGGCTCAGAAATGATATTTATGATGCTGAATTTTTTGACGATTCATATTCTGTTTTTCGTAAGGATAGACTTTTTCAACGCGGCGGTGGTGTACTAATTGCAACCAAAAATGACAAATTCGCCAGTGAAGAGATAAAAATCGCCGGTGCTGACGATTTGGAATACGTTTGTGTGAAAGCTACTACTAAATCACATGTCATCTACATCTACTGTGCATACATTCCACCAAATTCACCGCAAACAGTCTACGAATCACATTTAACAGCCATGCACAAAATCGCTACCGATCCTGAAGATGTTGTTATTTTTGTTGGTGATTTTAATCTGCCGCATGTTGAATGGTCAATTGATAGCGACGATGACAACATCATGATTCCAACTAAATTTGCACCGGAGTACACGGCCACTTTCATCCAGGGACTCATGAGCATGGGAGTTCATCAGGTAAATCATGTACGTAATGATTCAAAAGAACGACTATTGGACTTGTTCTTTACTAATGATTTCACCAACATTTCGATTGAGCGTGTAAATGAGGTTAACGCACTGACGGAAGTGGAAGATCATCATCCACCGATATTAGCCACATTTGAGTGGCATGGAAACAATACAACCGAGGCCAACATCAAAACAAAAGCATTCAATTTCAAGCGTGCCAACTATAAGGACATGAATGCACACTTTGCAAATATTAACTTCACCGAATTATTCCATGGAAAGACAATCATCGAGAAGGTGAACTTGCTGCACAAGACTTTGGACGATGCAATCATCAAATTTGTGCCTACTTACATCGTCAAGTCGATACAAAAATGTCCATGGAAAAATAAATTCCTAATAACACTGAAAAATAGGAAAAATAAGGCATGGAAACGCTACAGACGATCAGGCTATCATCAGTCGTTTGAATGGAAATACATTTTGGCATCCCGTGAATTCGATAAACTCAACACGGAACTCTACAACACATACGTGGAGAAAATGAAATCCTCGCTCAAGTATGACGCATCGAGATTTTGGCAATATGTCAATTCAAAGAAGAGCACCGACAACAAACCAAAAGTCATGCAATTTGGTGATGTGCGCACAGCAAACGAAACCGAACAGGCCAACCTGTTTGCAAACTTCTTCAGTAGCAACTACGATGACTCAACGACTCAAGGCGTTCAACAATCGCCTACCGATGAGTCACACCAAACTGAGGAATTCCAGCTCGACATCAATTTCGTGCTTGAAGAGCTGCAAGCCGTGAACACAAAGAAAGGTACAGGTCCCAACGGTATGCACCCGTTGATACTGAAAAACTGTGCGAGTCATTTGGCGGCTCCACTCACCGAGATTTTCAATGAATCATTGTCAACTGGCCATTTTCCTGACAAATGGAAACGCTCGAGTGTGTCACCTATTTTCAAAAAGGGGGCGAGATCGAAAATTGAAAACTATCGTTGCATTGCTAAGCTCCAAACTGTGGCGAAGTTCTTCGAGCATTTGGTGAACGTCAAACTTCTGTCTCTGGTACAGGACAAAATCACCAAAAAGCAACACGGCTTCATGAAGTCCAGATCCACTGCATCTAATCTCACCGAATTTACCTACTATGCCCAGAGAGGCATAAATTCAGGTGCGCAAGTGGACGTTCTCTACACGGACTTCAGTAAAGCGTTTGACAGAGTAAACCACAAGAGATTGATTCTGAAACTCAGATCGTTCAACCTGCCAGACAATCTTCTTGCTTGGATCGAATCATACCTGTCCAACAGAACGCAATTCGTTAAGTATGGGAGCAGCGAGTCGAATGAATTCAACGTATCATCTGGCGTACCACAGGGTAGTCATCTCGGACCCACACTATTCCTGTTGTTCATCAACGACATAGTGGACGAAATGGACGACGTGTTCATTTCTTTGTTCGCCGATGATGTAAAAATCGCGAAAATCATCCACTCGAGCACGGATGCGGAAGCGTTACAGCGAGCCATCGACAAACTAAAGGTTTGGTGCGACGTAAACAATTTGCACCTGAACCTTGACAAATGTGCCGTCCTTACAATCACCACAAAAAGGAAGGACATCATCGACACTAATTATAAATACGGTGATTTTACCTTCAAGTGCGTACGGGACCACAAAGATCTCGGCGTCATCATTGACCAAAAGCTTAGCTTTATAAAGCACATTGACGCGATCACCTCGAGAGCTACAGCAGCCTTGGGATTCATCAAAAGATTTTGTTACGACATAACCGACGTTCAAACGCTCAAAACACTATACTACGCACTGGTTCAGTCTCATCTTGAGTACTGTAATGTTGTATGGCTACCAACTTATACCGTGCATATCGACAAAATTGAGAGCGCATAGTAGTCGAAAATCTTTTCTCTTCAAAATATCATTGGTTTTATCAATGGGGTTATGAATTGAAGGAGTAAGACCGGCGTGGAGGCCTGTGGAGTGCTCCGGGAGGCACTTTAAGCCGTGGGATCCCGTGCAATATATACAGAAGATGAGTACAGGTATTGCACGTAAGATGGAGCGCCTAACGCTAGGTTGTTGTCTTCGATACATGTATTGATTGCAATTACCGCTAAAGGTTGTTGCCTGATATTGGTGAATACATCAGTATATCAGTGTCAGAGCATGTCTCTTCATCGAAAAACTCAATTACAAAAATGAGATGCGTAGTTTGGATTGGCTCATTAGAAGTGAATAACTTGAGTAAACAGAAAATCTAATGGAATACAGAGACGGGCCAAAAAATGGAAGTGATGGAGGTCTTCGTATATCGGACCACATGCGACCTGAGAGCCCTCTCTTGACCAATATAGAAAGTACGGGCACAAAATAGTATTCACAGCGGGCGCCTCGCAATAGACTGATTACAGCCTGAGCGACGAGTCTCTGACCCCCGCATATATCCAATAATCCAATAATCCAATGGCTACCAACTTATACCGTGCATATCGACAAAATTGAGAGCGTGTTGAGAAAGTTCACCCAGTTCGCCCGAAGAGAGTACCGTACGGCGGCCAACGGCTACAGTATCACCGACTACAACAAGCGACTTGAAGCGTTGAACATGACATCGTTGGAGCGTAGGAGAGTGAATGCATCTATTGTATTCATGTACGACATCGTGAATGGGATCGCAAATTGTCCCAATGTACGCAATGACATCGCAATTGGAGAGAGCGCACGTAGGTTAAGGCACACAGACTACCTAAAGATTAAAGATAAGCTCATGGACAAACAAATCAGAGCTCAAGTGCCTCAAATATGCAAGTTTGCAAACAAAGTGGCTGAAGAATTCAATAACTCAACCAGCCGTGCTAATTTCATCTCGTCGATACGCAGCGAACAAAACCAAAAATTTAATATTAAATATTGACAAATTTTTA